TTGAGGGTAGGAATGGGTTTTGTAAAAAATTGTAATTAATAATAACGAGTAAAATCGTCATTAAGTCCGATCCTACTGGAGATACACACGACTGTCATTATCTCCCCACCACCTCGACCTTTAACCACCAAAATTTAATATCATCAATCTCCCTAAAATACAAACCTCCCTGAAAAATTTCAGAAATTTTCGACAAAAGGAACTGGAGTTATTAAGCTTCAAAGAGGGTAAACAAAATCGTGCCCCCCCCACACACGCGCTAACATCCATGCATACAGAAATTACCCCCTAAATTTTTCTACATTTCTCGACGTTTCGAGGTGTTCTAAGTCTAAAAATATAAAAATCTGGGGATGTATAATTTTTTAACCGATCGCCATACTTTCCCTCCGTTATATATTCAATATAACAGACGGGAAAGTAAAAAATAAATAAAATTCTCAACGTTTACGCTTATTTTCTTTATATTTCGATAGGAGGACGATTAAAAAAATTTTCATTTCCAATTATGTTATATGATTTTGGTATTCCTCGTACAACACGGTTTCGCTCTAACAAGTTCGAGAATTTCATAAATCCCGTACAAAATTTCACAACTTTTAAGTGTAAAGTCCTTTTCTCGATATATATATTTTATTCAAATAAGCACGCACGTTGTCTCAAATTTGCTCACCGATTTTGGAATATTGAAATTTTTAATTCGTTTTGAGTCTTTCGTCAGATTTAATGAAAACTGACAGCGCAATTTTTCTTCTTCCTCGTCCTAGCTTTCCTATCAACCGGTTGTTGTCGTCGTCGTCGTCGTCGTCGCTTTCATACTTTAACTTTTAAGACTGTCACAGTGTTTCTCTTCTTATAGATTCATCTTCGTACCTTATTTAGTAAAGTCTATTTAAACATTTTTCGGTGTTATTAAACTTTTTAAATCGTATGTAAGTACAGTAATCATTCGTAAAAATGACGAATGAAATACGGTGGTATCTCGGTACTTGAACAATTCGGCATTACAACAAATATTTTTCCAAAAAAATATGTCGCTCGGACCTCGATTTAACAAATGCGACTCGCTAGAACAAATTTTCGATTGATAACATATTTTTATTTTATTACATATAAAAAATTTTATGGCAAAAATAAAAAAATGAAGACTTCGCTGATAGTTCTGATAAATATCAAGAAAAAAAAACCTTAGAACGTGACAATACTTTGTAAAAAGAAAACGCCCTCGTTTAACTAAAATTAAGATTAACGCGTAATGCAGTACTGTACTTTAATTGTGATCGTTAGTTAATTAATTATTGATGGATTTAACAAACAAATTTCTCTTACGAGTTAGTGACGAAAAATAGTAGTATATTTTTGTTAACTTCTACAACCTAACCCTATGTTTTGCATAGCGCGGATTCGCGTAACACGGCACTTTTTCAAAACGTAACTATCGTGTTATACGAGAGATAGTTATATTTTAAAAATTGATGTACGCCTATCATTACTTAACGATTTTGTGGAGTATTGTTGAAAAATTGAAATTCAGTAAACGAGACGAAACCGAACCGATTGACTACAATAATCGAGTCTCGTAGTTAATGGCTACAAAATACATTCCATCATTATCAAAATAAGTCAGGTTTATTCTAAGGTCACACGCGAACCTTTTATCGTGGTAAAGAAAGAAAACTGGAGATACAATGTTTATTGTATTTAATAACGGCGAATACCGATATTCAATTATATTCTAAATAAAGAACTTCGTCTTGGAATTTATTTTTCGAAGAGTTGATCGGAAATCGTATAATCCGAAGTTACTTGCTGAGGGGTCGCGCTGCATAGTGCCAAAATCGCCACTTGAAAACATTTTTTATTAAAGTGGCGATAAAATCCTAGTCCGCTTGTTCGACATTCGGCGTGAAACTGAATCACAAATCACACTTCGGAGGAAATAGCAAAATGTCGAGCTGTTGCGTACAGTGGGAGACCCATGACTATACACGTCTAGCGACTTCACGATGTCACTGGCAAGTTCTGGGAAAAAAAGTAGGAAGTGACGTCGAGAACCGAAAGCAGTTTTGTGCAATGCCGCGCAGTGTTTCCAGATTGGGATTTTTTGTCGGCCGACAGAAATTTTGGGGAATTTTTTGGGATGACTTTTTTCACTTTAATCTTTTTTCGGTAGACTAAAACAAACATTTTGACGTGACAGAACCTATGAAATACTGTTTAAACATTGTGATCAAATGTGTTACTCAGAATTTTTCATAAAAAGTTATTCAGAAATGATTGTTATTGTTAACAAGGGGAGGGCCAGACGTTCGGGTCTCCGATTCGAACGTAACTTGGTGAGCACATAGCCTTAAACGCAAACAGCTCTTTGTCCAAATAATAGGACCCACTTTTCAAGCGTTTCCAAAAATTGGTCCTCTGAAAATTTAGTGTTTAGCTTATAAATCTTTGGAAGTTTTTAGTCCCAGAATGGCGATAGCTGAGTGAATAAAATTCTAGGTAATGGAGCTAGATGATGTAGGTTTGAACCTTCTGAGTTTCGGTTTGGTTTAGTTTAGTTAATATTATGTATAACTTTATTATTTTACCGTATTATTATTATTACTGTCATCATTCCTCACATTTAAACTTTATAAAAGAAGAGATTAAAATTGTGACGTAATTTCCTGTTTAGCAGAAAAAAGCCTCCGTAGATTTAAATAAGCCTCTTACGTGGTTAAATAAAACTTTAATTTCTTGACATTTACTTTCACATATTTTACATACTATATCCTCACAAGCGAACAAGCTTTAGACATTACTGCATTTGAACGAAAAAGACAAGTGATATGAAAATAAAGTAGCGTAGTCGTAGCGTTTTATTATTTTTTTTTAATTGTTAATATTATGGACAATTTCCTGATGCGCTCACGTTTGTTACACTTTAAATGTCACAATACCACCATACCTAAAAATAAATACGAAGGAAATTTTATTTAATAACGTAAGTTAAATCTACAGAGACTCGTTTTCTGTAAAAAAAAATGACGTCAGAATTTTTTATCTCTTGTTTTATAAGCTCTAACTGTGAGGAATAATAATAGAAATAATAACGCGATAAAATAATAATGTTACACATAAAAAAATTAAACTAAAATTTCGAAGGATCGAACCTACATCAGTTATCTCTAGTGCTTAACGTCTTATTCGCTCAGTTATCGCCACTTTTGGACATGAAATTTCCAAAGACTTATGAGCTAAATACTAAATTTTCAGAGATCCATATTTTAGAAACGTTTGAAAAGTGGGTCCTAATGCTTGGACCAAGAGCTGTTTGTGTTTAAGGCTACGAGCTGGCTAAATTTCGTTCGAATCGGAGACCCGAACGTCTAGCCCTCTCCTTGTAGATGACAGTTTAACACGTTACTTTTGCTTTCCAGACACCAAACTGATAAGGCTATCAGCATCTGCATTAATTAGTCAGTAAAACTGGTGGCCATAAATAATTTAAAGCGCCGAAAAAAATTAAAAACTGGCGAAATGGGTAGCGATATTTTTTAATTTTTCAGAGCGATCCCTGCGTGCTGGATACCCGCATTAAGTCCTAAAAATTAACGTTCGAAGCATCGACTCTCGTACTATATCGGAGCTTTAGTTCGATAATCGAAGCTTCTTTACACTACAAGGTTCGATGGGAGGAAGCCAAAAGAGTAAAAGAAAAACTAAAAATGCTATTAAAAACTGATATAAATCCCGTCGTATTCCTTACGGTAAAATTACAGTAAAATTTAAAAATATGACGTTATATAGGAGAGGCCGTTATCAAATTTCAATAGATAACGTATAATTAGTCGTCCTGGCCGAAGGACGGAGCTCATTATTTATAAATTTTTCATTTTCTTCAGAAGATTATTGTGGCGAAAGGAATAAGAAGCGACTAAATGCATTTGACATTTTAATTCGGACAGCCTACAAAACTGCGTTTCGAAAAGAGTTAAAATGGAATAAAAATAAAGACGATGTTCGTAATTTCTACCTGTCAAATGAATAAAAAGCATGTCGATAATATATTCCATTTATTTTGAAAAAGAAGCAAAAGTCAAACGAGTCATCTTCGGAGAAGATTTTCGTCGTGGTTAGCAAATATAAATACGAGAATAACGGCTGTTTAATTGCAATTAAGAAACATTGTAAGTAAAGCGTAATCGAGAGGAATTAAATATTAATTAAATTCTCTAACAAACGAAAGTGAAATTGTCGGAAACTCAATTCCTTGTAAAAATTTCGACACCGTAATTACGACAATTTTTCCCGTTTTCGGAACTAAACACGAGACGATAATGTCGATTAATCGGAGGGAAAAACATTTCATAATACTGTATTAACTTAATTACTCAATTTTCTCTTCAAACTTTACATTTTATTTATTTAAAACAACAAATAATTAGAAATATTCATTTATAAGTTACGTCTACTTATTTAAGGCAAATAGTTTTTTTATACCAGTGCAATTTTAGTAAAAATCAATTTTCTTTTGTAATTATCACGATAAGCCTGTCGTTCGAGAGACAAATGTCGATTCGAGAAATTTCCAAGCGAAAAAGCCGCTCTCGTCTTTACTTTTTTTTTGCCGAAAATCGTCGAATAAACTGGCCAATCATAAACGTTTCGTATCGTAATCTAAACATTATTTTTAAGATTCTTGAGCGGTTATACACCGTTATAGTGTTAATACTAACTTACTAACGTCGCGATCGCATAATCGAAGAAGCTATTCTAGGTTAGAGCAGATATTCCAGAAGCGATTCTTTGTTATTATCGACGTGTATAGGATAATATAGAGATTGTGGCCCGAAAATCGATCCACCGAGATTAAAAATTTTCTTACCAGAAACTTAAAGGGCAATTTATGAAATAATGTCGTAGTGGCAAACAAATATATGCTACTTCGTATTCTTATAATTACGTTTACTTATCTGGATTTTCATTTGTGGTAATAATGAATTATTTATTGTTTACAGAAGATGCTGAAACCACAGAGAAGTGTGTTTCGGTCTTGCTAGACGGAGAAGAATACGAACTGACCATCGTCGACATGGACGTCTTTGACGATATTTCCCTCCAGGTTAGTTCCGTTCTACTTTATATCGACTTCTAATAGCAGCGTAAGTCTATTTATTGACGGATTACGGTATTAATATCCGGATAGAAAATGAAAATCGTCTTTTACTCGTATCTCGGTCACATAAACAAAAAATCGACTTTTACTATTCGGCTTTAATAATATATTTACTCTTCTAGCTTTTAATGCTTAGGCTACAATTTTTTATGGTAAAATACAATTCCGGATATTAATTCCATCCACGAAGACAAGGAGACGTCGCTCCGTTTCCAACAACAATATTTGTCGGTTCGGCATTAAAAAGGTGACTAAAATCGCGTCGATGGTCTAAATTTACCATAAATCGGAAACTTTTCGTATGGTAATTACCTGCGTTATACGAATATAAATGTTTATAAAGTTTTATAAACTTAAAAAAAACCTACGAATTATTGATAAACTTCATCGTTGTTTGCGTAGTCGATAGTCTTAATATGTTTTTTTTATTTGTTTGCAAAGATACTATGGCCATAGGCCTTTTCCAAGTATCTAAAAGACAATTACTAAGAACAAGTTAACAAAACAGTTGACAACAATAATAAGATAAAGAATCTATTTATAAATAAGTAGTCGAAAAGAAAAAAGATCGTCAAATATTCCTGCACGCCCCACGACAAACCCGTATGTCTTGAATAAACGTAGACACTCCGTTCGAATGCCAGTATGGCATTTTAAGCCAATCTCCCAACGCCGCGGTCTTTTTTTTCAAATTTTAGAAATATCACAAAATCGAACGTTTTTCAAAAATAATACAAACGGTCGACGTGCCCACCGACGTTTACTTTAAACGGGAAGTGACGTGTTTGTTATTTAAACGAGCGCGAAACGTCATCACTTTCATTCCAATTCGTATTTTAAGTTATCGAACTGTTAGAAAATTTGTACGGCAACAAAAATATTCTTTTTTCTTACATTTATATCGATACCGTCAACGAAAATATTTAATCTCTTTTATAATTTAATACGCGGACTTTAGTTTTTAATCAATCTCCTCGCTTACCCCATTTAGATTAATGCCAATCGATGCGATTTTCGACCGTGGTAATTTCAAAATTCACCTTGTTACGGTCGAAATTTATATTTACGATCTCTTCGTTTAGATAAAGAGATCGTAAATATAAATTCCGGTCGAGACGGGATTAGCCGATCTAAACGAAAAGTAATGAATAGTTCCGTGAAATCTGAAGAGTTGACAGAAAAGTTTACTCAATGAAGTCAGCATCTACCGTCCATTGTCAACGACAATCCACGTCTTTAAGAAAAAACTGGCAACAAAGAGTCGATAAAATGTTTGGAATCAAGAAATCAGATTAAAGTTAGCCGAGCGTTTTCATCGTTTCTTAAAAAAATAAAGTGAAAACGTGGTAAAGTCGAAAAAATTGTTTACAGTCCAGATTAAATACTATCGAATGGTAATTACCTCCAAAGAATAAAACATGTATAGCGGCGGAAGATAAAGGAAACGAAGATAATCCGTACGTAATAATCCCTCTGGAAATATTATTATGGAATTGTAAAAGCCAGGTAATCCTCCGAGAAATGTTGTTATTATGTTTTCGGTCAAACCTTTGCAAAGATTAACTTTTCCTCCGGGTAAGAGCATTTCGTTTTTAATACTATTTTATAGCTAAAGATACATTTACTTTCTCCTATTTGTTCTCGTCTCACTCTTTACGTTTCCTTTCGTCTTCCATTTATTATTTAGCGCAATTAAAATTTCTCCTCCGGAAGGAGCTTTCCTTCCGCGCTTCTTCATTAATGATTATTAATATCGGCCGGAAATTTCCTCCGCAATTTTCGGCTTTCCGGTCGAATCGATGTCGACGAAACATCAATTATATTCCAAAGAATAAAAACTCTTTTGATTAAACGAGAAATACAATTTATTATTAGATAATCGACGAACTTCACATTTTTTATGTTCCGTATTTTTAGATTGTGTTTCGATTCTCTTTCCTCTTCGGAAATAATTCTATCGTTTTAATCCGCTCGTAGTTTATTTATTTATTTTTTTCGTGGAGGGACGTAACCTTACTTAACGTACTCAAAAGTTACTAAATAATTCCAGAGTGGCATATTCCGACCGTGTTTTCTTCGGAATGACATTTTTATAGTTCCCAATTAATTAGCGCCTATTTTTCGAACTTAATTAGCAATTTTTAATTAGCAATAAATTCCCGACCTTGTAAATGACGCTTCTCCGTAAATTATCGCCTTTTTCCTCTAATAAAAATTAAATTGTTACGCTAATTTAATTACGCTTTTTATTAAAAGTTATAGATATTGACTGTATCCTCTCCGACTCGGATCGTCTCCGGGATAAATCTTGTCGAATAATTTTTACCTACCAATTAACTAAGTAAATTCTCCGACGCAACCAAGTACTGTACGTCGTTTGCAATTTACGGATTCGTTTATGAAAATCGTCGATGACAAGAATTTACTTTTGTTAGAACGTAATAAAAAACGTGGAAGCGGAAGTTAGCGAATTCAAATTCACTAAAAATAAAAAGGAATTATCGAAAGTTTGTTTACGCAACGTCGATGAGCCGAGTAAACGAAATTTAAAGATAAAGCACTTGTAAAGAAAGTCGTCTCCAATTCAGAAAATGTAAATGATAAATGAATGCGAATTATTCGGCACAGAGAACAAATACGTGTATGAAAGCGAAAGTTTAGAAAGTAAAAAATAACTTAAGAAAAGAACGTCTTCAATTAGACAAAAGATGTCTAATTGAAGTCTGATAAACATCGCTTAAGAAGATAAATGCGTTTTCGGAAAATTCAGTTCGATAAAAAATGGAAATAAATATTTTGCTTCCAATAGTTATATTCCTTATTTGACTATTACAGCTAATGGATATTATATTTTCTTTATGTATCTCAGAGGAACGGGATGATATTTTCCAAAATCGAGCCACTTCTTCCCTATTCAACTAGTGTTTGATTCTTATTTTTTTAATATAGACCAATACATTTATTTTTAACGAAGTTATAATGAAAAGATTGCATAAACTTCGTCTACGATGGTTTTGCCGAGTAATTCATAGATATTTAATACGATATTTACGGAAAGGATCCGTTCACGCCATTTACCTGGCATTTTAGCATTGGGGGCGTCGAATAGAGATTTTATCGCGATTATCCTTCCGAAAACCATTATTCGATATATGGCATAATCGTTGTTACTATATGTTTGATATTACCCGACAACAAAAAATCGTCGTTACATAAATTATTAATCACAAGGAATGTAGAAGTAGCGAAGTACCTTCACAACAGCTTTTAGTACAGCAAACGGAATTATACAGATATTATTTGTCGAAAGGATAAGGGGAAAAATATATTTCTTCTAAACTCGAAACGAACAGCAAATTCAAAACACGAGTCGTAAAATCAATAATTTCAAAATGCTTTTAATTACCAGATAATGGCTGATGTTTAAGCCATATTAAACATCTCCGGTAATATTTATATTTTTCTCTTATTAATTAAAGCGAATTTAGTCACGAAGTTTTATTTACTCTAATGAATAAACATTTACTTACTTTAATGAGTCCAATTACAAGATTTTCAAAACTCAAAATATGAAATTCTTTCGTCTATTCCTTCGATGAGATTTCTATGCGTTTTTTTCTATCTTCGGACAATTTTGATTTACTAAAATAAAACCAAGAGAGATAAGAATATTAGTTCCTATCGCCCGATATTTAATTAGCTATTATCGATTGTTTATAAAACTGCATAAACTTTCATAAAGTTTTCCAGATAACGTACGAAAAATTAAAGAAACGAAATGTATATCTCACTTTGTTAAGAATGCAGATAAGACATATTCGAACGAATTGGATATAAACCGATGAAATGTTCGTACGATCGAGATAAGAATACAATGAAAAATTTCCAAAATTTCTCTTTTAGAGTTTAGATTTTTATAAATATATTCAGAATTTTTAGTTGATATTTGTAGAAGAGAAGGTGGTATTATGGAACCCCAATTACATTTTAGTGAATTGTAAACAAGGTATAATAACTACACCCACATTTTTTGTGCAAAAAGTACTTGTAACTATTAAACTAAATGTTCCTAATTGGATTTTTCGTTAGTGTAACTATAAGTATGGTTTTTGAAGGCTTTTGTACAAAAACTCAGAATGTAGGCTTAGAGAAAATCGGGTGGTAATATGGAACCTTACTGTATATTTTAAAAAAATGCTTTAATGTAGCCAAAAACAAATAGGAAAGTGTAAAGAATGTTAAATAATTACAAAATCATTTACTCCTATGTATTTTAACGCAAAAATGATTTAATAATAATAAAGAAATGTACAAAGAACCTAATCATTTACAAAAATCACAAATATAATGCTCCGTTTCAACATCAGCACAATCTTTATGTGCCCACATAGCGCACATTAGGCATTGCACCCACACCTCCCCATGACTATCATCTGCAAATAGACAAGCAGTGTCATCTCCTCGTCAGGCAAGTCAAAAGGAGAGTCAACTGGAGATATCAATAGAGTCATCATCACTTCAATATTGGCACAAGAACAGTGTGCCCATTTATCACAACTGCTACATTTATTCTTATTTTTCAAATAAATAAACATAAAAGTTTGAACTTACTTGTAGATTATTTACTTTACCAGACGATACTGTCACTTCGCGCATGCTCAGTTTCGCTATTTTGTAAGCAGACGATATTTTTTTT